TTTGATTCTAAATATATTGTGCTGTAGTCATTTCGCATGTGTTGCATATTTTGAATAGCTTTATCCAGAAGCATAGAAGCATTCTCTAATGAAATATCCGTACTTTGTAAAATTTTARATACAGTATTTAAATATCTTAAAATATTTTCCCAAWTATATAAAATTAATACAAATTCACTCGATTCTATCTTATTTTTAAGTACTTTACTCATRTYTCGTTCATCTTTTTTACTACTTGTAAGTGATATTACTGTTAAACATTTGATTACATCAATAAACCGTTCTTTTAATGCAAATACTGCAGTATGTCTAGATTCAGACATTGTAGAGCAGACATTGTAAAATGCTTAAAAATAGTAACTACTATATTACCTACTCTTTACTATTATTATTTAGCACTGTATTGACGTATTGCATACTATTTACACTATATTTAATAATTATGCCTATAATTAATTTAATTCTTAAGCATAAAATCTAAAAATATTCGTAGAACGATAGAGCAAAAAAAAAATATTGAAATAGACGATTTTCATTTTTGGTTTTTGGTTTTAGAGTCCCTTTAGAGCTGGAGGCCTGTGTGTGTTGCACACTTTGCATACCCAGTAGTTGCGACACTGCCACATTGACCTCCTTATCTGTTTTTGTGATTTATATTTAATTGTGATTACACTATGGACAGTAATGCAGTATAATACATTTTGTATAATTATTTTTCCATTTCCATTTACAGCATTAGCCAGTTGAATTCAAGTTCATTAAACAGCGTGAACTGTTTTCTAGGCGGTTCCTTCGAGTGAGACAAAATCGTACTTCCTTTTTTTATATTATAGGCGCAAATTGCCATTTACGTTTTCTTATTACGATTGAATGGCGTGTGCGGATAATCGCTGTATTTTATAATTGTAGTTTTCAGTTATTATAGACTTTGTAACTATAGTTAAAAGTTATAACTTATAATAGGTACTTTATACCTAAACACTTGGTATTTACAAAATAAATTTATAATAGCGATAATTAATTATATTAATACACAACCCAATCTTGTCTACTAAAGAAAGGCTAATATGTTTGGTGTTGGAAGATCTGGTCCTAATAAGATGTCGTATTATATGTCGTCGTATAGTTTGTTTCAGGTCCTTCTTGCGACTTGCTTTGAGGTAAACACCACATTCAGTTATTTTTTTTTACTTTTAAATTTGTATATTTATACATCATGGCGTGTGCTGTGCAAATTGCTATCTACTAATTATTTTAAAAATATATTACTGTGATTTGTTATACATTCTATTATAGTATTATATCAACTTTTATAGCCATAACCTTGAAATTATAATATAAGWTTTAGGCTGTACACTATATAGTCATACTRAACAAGTATAGCTTCTGGCCAGACGACCAGTCTACGCAGCGATAGGATTGCGCATAGGTATACTAATTATWAATTATTAATCTATTAGGTATATAATAATTATWATACWWSA